TCTTAAGGTTTGGTTTCCTATCTTATATTCTTGGAATTTCAGGAGGGCACAGCAAGGGGCAACAGTGATGGGAAAGAAGCAAAATCCGCACACAAATTTCCCCAAACATAAAAATAAATACAACATATTTCTAGACTGCTTTCTCTATAAAGTATGCTCCACAATGAGGTAAAAGAATATATTATTATGATACCTAGCTCTTTATTCTGCATTTAATAGGGCTTTTAGCCATAGCACACGTGCCCCAGTTCTTTGTTCCGAACCAGAATTCAGCTTTTAGCCTTACAACATAGTGTCCAGTCAACTTGGCCGGAAACTGGGAAGAAATTTGACCTTAAAATGAAGAAACACTTTCAAACATTTGCAACTTCACAACTTAAATTTGTGGTGTTGTGATGTGTCTTCTGAGGGTTTCTTGAGCCTTTGGAGTTCTTTTTCTTCTCATTTCTACTGGAAAAGCCCATATTATGGGTTGAAGGGAAGGTAATCTGTTTCCTGCTAGAAGCTCTGTCATTCTGTTTCCACTGCAAAAGATCCACACGTTACAACTGCCTATCTTAGAAAAACTCAATCTAAACTAAAAACTTTTAACATAAGTGAAGAAAGCTTAAAAAGGTTTAAAAACAGGTGTATTGCCCTATATGCTGCTAAAGCAAGCAAAATATAGATACTCATTACTCCTGGTACTTTTTTCTAAAGCTTTTCTGAGAACACTTTTCCAAGGAAGGGATCCCAAGAAAGCCACAGGATGTACTAAGTTTCTGCCAGAAAATTTGCAGTTGCTGCTGAAATGTTTCACTGTGTATAAAAGAGAGGAAGTAGAGCAAGGCTAAAACAGCTTTAGGTAAGAATGGCTGAAAGGATGTTGCAGAGAGGGCTGCAAACCAATTACTGCATGATGGAATAAAACCAGATAATGGTGGACACTGATAAGCAACTTGCAGTGCGGCTTGGGAGACTGATTTGTTCTTCTACCTTGCTTAAGCTGCTGGAGAGTTTGAGGTGAAACCTAATGATTCATGTCTGCTAGCCAAATGAATCATTCAACACTGGACAGCTATCAAAACTGTGCTGTTTTGCTATTTGGAGAGAGTACAAGCAGCAAAAACTAAAAAACCACAAAAAAAAAAAAAACAAACCCTGCTCAAGTTCTGAAAGCTCTGATTGGCACCAAGTGGAACACACTACAGAAAACATGGCAAGTTCTCTGGAAATATAGACAAGTTTTTGATAGCCAAGGCCAAAGTGTGGTCTGTCAATTCTCTGGAAGAAAAGGAAAAAATCCTAAGTTATCTGGGAGTAGAACTTTGTCTGGGAAACAATTAATGTAATAGTGGGGATGGGAACCGAACAAAATTACACATCACAGGAAATAACAGAAGTGTGTTGTGTTTGCTTGGCCAGGTTTTGGTAGTGGGGGAGCCACAGGAGTGGCTTCTGTGAGAAGCTGCCAGAAGCTTCCCCCATGTCCAATAGAACCAATGCCAGTGCCAGGTGGACCCACCACTGGCCAAGGCCAAGCCAATCAGGAATGATCGTAACACCTCTGTGATAACATATTTAAGAAGGGGAAAAGGTTATCGTGCAGATTTAATTGCGATCAGAGATGAGAGGAGGGAGAATATGTGAGAGGAACAGCTCTGCAGACACCAAGGTCAAGTGAAGGAACGGGAGAAGGTGTTCCATGTGCCAGAGCTGAGATACCCCTGCAGCCTGTGGTGAAGACCATGGTGAAACAGGCTGTTTCCCTGTAGCCCATGGAGGTCAACGGGAGTATAGAGATCCACCTGCAGCCCATGGAGGAGACCCATGCTGGAGAGGGTGTGTGTCTGAAAAGAAGCTGTGAAGCCATGGGAAACCTGTGCTGGAGCAGGCTCCAGGAAGGGACCTGAAGACATGCAGAGAGAAGCCCACTCTGGAGCAGGTTTGCTGGTAGGACTTATGACCCTGTGGTGGACCCATGCTACAGCAGCAGGCTGTGCCTGAAGCACTGCAACCTGTGGAAAAGTGACTCATGCTGGAACAGTTCATGAAGAACTGTAGCCCATGGGATGGACTCATGCTGGAGAAATTCGTGGAGAACTGTCTCCTGTGGAAGGAACCCCACGCTGGAGCAGGGGAAGGACTCTTCTTCCTGATCAGTAGCAGGAACAGTATGTGATGAACTGACCATGACCCCCATTCCCCACCTCCCTGTGCCACTGTGGGGGAGGAGGTAGAGCCTGGGAAGGAGGGAAGGGTGGGAAAAAGAAGAATTTTTAAGAATTTTCTTACTTCTCAGTTATCCTGCTATGATTTTTTGGTAACAAATTCAGTTAATATCCCCAATTCAAGTCTGCTCTGTCCATAACAGTAATCGATGAGTGATCTCTCCTTATTCTTCTCTCAGTTCCTGACTTTTTGTTATATTTTTTCTCCCCTCTCCTGTTGCAGAGGGGAGTTATAGAGTGGCTTTGGTGGATACTTGGCATCCAGCCAGGGTCAACCTGACACAAAAACCATAGTGAAAAATCAAGTTGCTGGTGATAGACCAAAAAAGGGCTGCAGTATGACTGTTTTATATCTGCAGCTAAAGCCAGGACATGTTATACTGACACACATGCAGTGGAGTTGGTCAAAGTCTACAATAGCTGTTATTGCAGACCATCATCAATTCTAAGCAACTAAAAAAAAAAAAATAGTCAAATCTAAACAGCATAAATCTTAACTTATAAGGAGATTCGTACCTATGAGAACATTTCACTCCATTCCTCCAGAATTCATTCCAAAGTCAATTTAGGTCTTATGATAATTAGCTGGTCCAAAATCAATCAAGTCTTCTCTACAAGTCCCATGTGAAAAACACAAATCAGCACTGACTGTGGATAACACAGAAAGGCCGTGACTCTGGGGAAACACAATGTGCTTTCCAATTTTCCTGTGCTCCTACAAAAACCAAATATATTGTGCATCCACCAAAGTGAAGAAGGATGCTGAACATCCATTGGCCTTCTCCAGATTTATGTATACATGGAAATGCACGCTCGCTCTTTTACCTGTTTCTTTCTGCAGGATAAACATAGCATAGAGAAAAATTTGTTATACTACACTGTTATCCTGATATCCATAGCTCTCTTATGTCTCCTTTAAAATACATTTTTTTAAAAATTAGAATCTGAAGTTAGTCTTCTGCAGAACCGCCACTCTCTAGGGAATTCTAGCATGGCAGAAAAAAAAGTATTTTTCTCCTGAATGAATCAGGAGAAAAATACTGTTAATTATTTCACTGCTGTTAGTCTCATGTGCATTTCTGTGGCACTGCTTTGTTACACATTGAAAGTATTAGCATATGTGTCTGCAATCTCAAAGAATCCTTTACATTTCAGGAATTAAACTGACAACAATGGGACATGAGGAAATGGAACAAAGTTGTGCTAGGCAAACTTCAGATCGGATGTTAGGACGGGTGCTTGGACACAGGAACAAGCTCCCCAGGTAAGTGATCACAGCAGAGTTCAAGGAGTCTGGATGATGCCCTTATTCATATAGTTTGGTTTTAGGTAGTCCTGTGAGGAGCAGGGAGTTGGACTCAATGGTCCTTATGGGTCCTTTTAAAATGAGATACACTATGACTCTATGAATCCCTTCAATAGATAATTTTGTAGTAATTTTTCTTAAAAAAAGAAGTCCATATTTAGCACACACCTGCTTCATTACAATTAATTAAAACAAGATGATTTTTAGCAGTCTGTGAGATAAATGCCTATACAACTACAACACATTTGTACATTTACAAGACTTGTTAGATATTGATGTTAAAAATGAGAGTATTTTTCCTTTTTTTTCTTTTTTTCGTAAGTTGTGTGATTTTATTTCTACAGCACCAAACCTTGGGAGCTTGGGATTAGGACGAAAATTTTTGAATTTGAAAACACTTATAAACAAATTTGTCAGACCTCATGGCTGAAAAAGTAATCTGCAAACATAATTCAAGTATACCCTGAAGGTTTAGAGATTGAACTATTATTTTATTTTGGGAGTGTTGAATCATGATTTTTCAATACTTTCAGCTGGCAGCTGCAAGACACTTGCAAGCTGGAATTCCAGTTTAATGAGTAGCCTATAGAAATATTCAGACTATCATTAGAAACATTTCACACTCGAGTCAATCCATACCAGAAAGTTTGCAGAAGTAAAAAATAACTGGAAAATATCGCTGAGGCAACAGGAACTATAAATTATTAAAACCTCTTAATATTTATATTAGGGGGGCAGGGAGCAGGGTAGGTGTATGTTTGTTTTAGAAAACCTAACTGCAGTCTCTCAGACTTTATAACGGTGATTACTGCAAAGACAAGAATAGACTTACCTGATGAAAGTAGTTAATGTTTTTTTGCACTAAAGAATATTTGAGAAGATAAATAACAGGCTAGCAGGTGAAAAATATGAAAAACGCTAGGCTTATATTGTGAACTATAATGATATGTTTCATATATTTTCTTTCTTATGTTCCTCAAAATTTTCCCACAGAAAAGATATACCCTCTCCAGGACACAGCATTTGCCTAGTTTCACAGACCATTATGGTTTTTTTTCATCCCTTGCACTTTTGTGCTAGTAACCACTTATACTGCTTTTTGTGCTGTTCTCATGTATTTTACTGAATATATCAGCTTCAGCCCTTCAACCCTGTAATGGTAGACTATTAATTTAAAATATACTTCTATGTAATGAACCTTTTGTTCAGATGTGGTTTTAAATGTGGAAAACTCTGAGGAAATTGCTGCCATACTTCAACTACTCTTTCATCTGAATTAAGAAAACAGATATGGCAAAAAAAACCTGCTTAGATTAGCTAATGTGTCCCACATACATTTCTTCACTCCATGCATCCATGTATTATAATAAACCACGTACTGCACTAAGTTTAAAGTGAAATTGCAATCATATAAACAGGACAATGATACATTTGGTTTTAGCACATCATAATTAACATTTTCCTTTTAGATCGACTGGACTCACCTGTTAGAAGAGAAACTGTAATAATCACTTTCCTCTAGAACCTCTTCAATTAAGAGTCTACAACGAAAAAGAACTTAATTTCAGTAAATCATCTTCATTAAAAGTAATAAATGAATACATATAGGTATACACACAGCTTACCTGCAACTGCCCATATGCCATCCCTTCTGCCATGTCAGAAGTGCTAACCATGCCTTAAAGTAAAAAGTAAGTAATGTTATACTACTGAATTTGGAATTTATGCTCCCTTGTAAGTTTCTTAGCAATTCCACTACAAATATAATGACAAGAGAGATACTTCATTATCAGTAACTTCTACTGACCACAACCAACCCCTGAAATGGTGAGGTCATCTCATGTGAACATTTGCATGATACGAACATGACGAGCACATTATGAAAGCATTCAGACTGATGGAAAATAAAGACTTTGTCAAACAGAACACATAAATGCAGCTTTCTTATTTTTTCCCACTTACAGTTTACAGTGGGAAGGGCACATAGCCAGCAGCAATTCGTGAGGACAAAAGTATTGTCTGCAGGTTAAAAGATTTAAAAATTACTGATAATGAGCATCTCAAAAATTGCATTGTTGTCTCTGGGAACAAAATAATGCTCATATTTAAAGTGATCGTTAGGGACTCATTTCCTACTCAAATATCACCCTTGACATCTAGTATTAATTTTGGTTTTTGCAATAAGCTCTATAACTAATGTAACTAGAATGTTTCAACACCAAGCCCATCAAAACCAAAGCTTCTCACTTTTCTTTCTGGCGTCACAGATTTTTAATGTTACTGTGTCCTCTAGTTCATGGACTGCAACATAGCTTTTCCTGTACTTAGAAGAATGTAAATGGCACAGTTACCAAAATACAGCCTACACCTTTCCCTTATGTCCACTGCACAAAGAAGCACATGATGAAACAAGTCTCTGGACCAGGAATTGTGGTTCCCCACCCTGGATGATGCCACAGCTGTAGGTTTTATTAAACATGGTGTTTATGATTTGTCATGCTGAGTATCACTTGTCCAAAGTATATTTGACATATATATTGTTATATTTTCTGAAGCGTATACACACACACACACACACATATATTTTCCTTGACCTAAGCTACATAATTAAACCAACCCATTGTAACTGTTCCAAACTTGACAAAAGAACAACATAGGGTTTAAACGGAGTTTGTTTAAAAATCATGTGCAAGGACAGGTAAATCTTAAGTATGACATTTTTGGTTACAAACATTTTAATTAATTTTCATGGATGAACCATGAATTACTTGCATCTTTGATATTTCTTTGTAATTCCAGGCTATACTCTCTTAAATTAGTAGAAATTTCCAGCAATGGTAAACTGCACATCTTACTAGGAATTAAACAAAGCAAAACCAAAAAAACCCTGATAATGAAAATCAGTACAGTCAGCATAACTTCACTGTCAGAAGAGCAGCAATTCCTTCTGCTTTGATACCATACACTTAATTAGAAATCTATATGCCACTACAGAAGTTTTGATACTTTGTTTACCTTTTCTATCATCTAGAAGCAACATATTTCCACCTGAAGAAAGAAGTAGGATGTGCCAATCTGCTGTGAAGATGTTGGGCTCAATCAATTCAGGAGAATGTTGCAGCAACTGGGAGGGAAAAAAAAAGAAAAAGAAAAGGAAAAAAAAAGACAACTGAAATCTCCATCCTTCCCATTTGCCAAAACTTCAGACTTCTGAGGTAGTTTACCCTTTCCTATGTTTCCCAGTGTAATCAGAAGTCAAGAGATTTCAAGTCTTTTTAGATTAATCAAAAAGTGATGAACACAACTATGAACATTCTACCTTCTTCTCTCCAGAAACACTGAACATTACAAGCTGCCAATCTGCACTTAGTATAACGCACTGAGTCCTTCAGACTATCTGAATAAAATGCCATAAATTATACATTTGTGTGAAGATTAACAGGGAAGTGTATTCTCTTGAATCAAGGAAAGAAGTAGCTGACTGGCTTTCAAAACTGGGGCTTCAAGTGAAATTGTAATATTCAAGCAGTGAAATTCCCATTGGAGGGATGCCAGAGCTTCCGAAACCTGAAAGTCAGTTGAACAACTTCATTATATGAACAAGGATATTGACATTAAACTTAAAAACATCTAGTTTTGAAAACATCCCCTGGCAACATCTCTGACAGGAAAGTACCCTTGTGTGCAGGAAAGAAATTCCAGTTATGCATTTCTGCAGCATGGTAACACTTTTATAGTTACAGAAACAGAAGAATATCTCTTGCTGAAAGACCTTTACCCCACCACTGATCAGTGGAGGAATCTTTTTGTCTGTTATTCTAATGAGGTTTTCTAATTTGTCAAAGTTAAAAAAAACCACCATTATTTTTAAACTTTATTTGCAGAAATTGCACAACCTCTTAACACTTGCTGGAAGAGTTCAACCTAATTCTTTTCTCTATTTAGGTTCCTCCCACTACCTCCAAATGACATCCATGTTACCCAGTACATTCATGGTGGTGATTTTGGTAAATCATGTAACATTTATTTACTGATGTTTGTCAATTCTCCAATCTTCTAACTGCACTTCCTGTTGCTGCTATTAATAGTTTCTATAACTATTTCCTTCAAGTTGGAAATGCCCAGAATTGCATACAACATTTCAAACATTTTAAATTTGCTACCATTTACATTTTATATAGCGTATTTCTTCCCTTTTCTTGAGGTTTAAATCCAATAGTCTTAAAGCTAACACCATTTTACATTTGTTAATAACATTTATGAATAGTTTCATTTATTTCTAGACACTTGAAAATTAGGTTAATTTTATAACAAACACTTCCTTTTTCTTACTCTATTTTTGGGCATCATTTTTTGAAAACATCAACTCAATACACAAAATGAACAGATATTTCTTAGATTTAATGTTATGGGCGAAATACAGGAATTATTTAATATATAAGTCCCAATCTGATTTACAGTTTTCAAATTGGCGTGAAACCAGTAACTCAGCAAGAAGCATCTTTAATTATCTTTCTAATGTACTACCAATGTAAACCAAAGTAAACACTAAGCAGCCACCTTGCATGAAGCTTAAGCATCTGAGGTTGATTATTACAAAAGCACAGGAAGGATTCAGCATTTAGGGTCAGTCTATTTTGTAGCAAACAATGCAGAAGATTCCACAGTTCAGTGCAACTAGGTAACAATCAAATTAGGTTACACAGGAGAATAATGTGAATGATAATAAATCACCTTAGTCATCCAATTTTAGGTACAATAAAATATCTAATAACTACTTTGTCATCAATTCAGTCTTAGCTTCAGAGTCTCCCCCAGAACATAGATGACGAGGAAGTAATTTTCAGATCCTTTGCTGATTACAGTGTTCTCAGGTGATTTTGAAGGAACAAGTAGAAATTCTGATATTATTGTTAGCTCTTTCTCTGTTGGAGAGCATCCAGCCTGTCACTGGAAAATACGCAGGCACGGTTCTTTAGTCAGGCCATTCTTGCAAATCTGCAGTGGTTTTAAAATGATGACACTGAACTGTTGCTGACACACCATGCAACCATGGGACAAGGTATGTTATATTCAAGGCTCTCTGGGACATTGCTTTCCTAAAATTAATGGTTTGAATAGGAATACATTCCAAAACATGAAATATACTGATAAAATATTAACAAATTAAGAAGAGCTTACATAAATTAAGATCTTATATAAACTCCAGTTGCATTTCCCTTCCTCTTGTCTTTATAAGGTCTGATGAGATGAAGTCTGATTTTGTGTGCTAGAAGCTCACGGGTCATTTCCATTTACAAAAAAAGTTCTAGTGATGAGACAAAAAACTTGAAACCAACCTGCAGAAACTACTTACTTAAGGAACCTAAATATTTGCCAAATAAAGGATATCTAGAGAATATTCTAAATGTTTCCTTTTAAAAATGGACTCTTATATTTTTGTGGAACTAATATCGATAGCGTAATTCAAATAGAGAAAGAGACAAAGTCAATGTAATAAATGATGTACCAAACCTTTTTCATTTCTGATTTCGGATTACAAGGACTGCTCTGCCGACTGAAGAGGGGCTTCTTGAACCTCTCAATGATTCTCCTTTTCAAGTTGCACTGCAAAGCTAGAGGAAGCTACATGAAACAAAGAAACAGATGTTTCCACCACTCAGTTACACCTTCCATAATGATCACCCATTCAGCAGGAGCCTTATTGGAAAAAGTAGCTACGCTTCAAAAAGAAACACTGATATCTAATGGCATGGTGACAAGCAACAGCACAAGACTTGATTTAATAGCATATTATAATAAGGTTCCTTGGTTTGCCCATTCTGTTAGGCTTGGTTTATCATGTAACTCAGCTCCTCTAGTGTTGAAGGTCAATACTATTATACAGGTACAACTAGATTTGCCTCCCTGATCAAAGTGCAAGTATTTGGGACATTTTTCTACAGATGAAGCCCATCGACCATTAGACTAGATTTCATGTTGGTTGTAACGAGTCAATTCAGATGAAATGAATGGAATTTCAAGAAGCTTAGACCTTCAGTCAGTGTGCACAGAATCGCTTTAACAGGCTCTTTTAAGGTCCTTATGGATCTTACCAGAATTCAGAACGTCTCTTTTGCTAGAGACTACCTGTGGGAGGAGGTAATCTACATTTCCCTTGTCTATAAAGCATAACTTATTTTGTATACTTTTTCCTCCTGTATTTTTTGGTTGAAAAGAAACACGTATTTCATCTTTATTTACGTTTTTTATAAAAGTACAAATCATACTTTATAGTGCCTAAAGTCTTTAATATCGAGTTCAAAGGATGTCTCTTCCTTTTAAATATTTTTTATGCTGCAGCAGTAAATGCAAAATTTCCACTGTTGGTCACCGCAATGACACCAACTCAGTCTGACAACAACTGGATGGTATGTTGCTACCCTTTTGAAATCATGTCCTATGCTGTTTCTGTATAGTTGCTTATACCTGCAGACACCGTTTGAAAAACTATGATCGTCTACCATTTGGTATACACTTTATACTCACATCATTGATGTAAATTCATGAAGTGCCACTCCACTGCATTCAGGAAGCTTTTTTACTACTTAAGAAGGGTTTGACCACTAATGATTCACACTCAAACACTGACACAGTACACATTATAAAGACATTTATCCCACTGGAACAAATTACTGTTTTTAGACAGCTATAAATCCAGAACGGTTTTATTGGGCCCACAGGAGTCCCGATTTGCTCTGACAAACTGGAGATCAAAGTCACATTCTACGCAAAAAAGACTTCACCAGACAGCTGGTTGCATACAAGTTTTTGGTTACAGACAGATACTACTCTCTTTTCATGCAGATAAGGCCTTACACATACGCTTTAAGTCGGATGTTGAATGTTCCTTAGCCCATAAGCCAGTAAAAAACATTATGCCTTAGGAAAGGTTTGCAAGATGCTCTATAGATTACATACCAGTGCAATCAACTGTGTGCAGTCAATGTACCGTGGGCACAGTGGGATATACCGAAGCAGAAGTGGTAAAGAACAAGTCCACTGCTTCAGAAACTTGGAATTGCCTTAGGCACTAGTGTTCAATTTTAGCTTTTGTTTTAATGAAATCAGTTGTCAGATCAGTTAAAAAAAAAAAAAAAAAAAAAAAAAAGGAAAAAAAAAAAGCCAAGGATTTACATAATGCTTTTTTTAAAAGCTTTTTCTTACATTGTTTTCCAGAGATCACTCTGATTCTTGTTCCCATGGAAACTGGGTTGGGAAGGCTGCTGCCAGCCAAGAACTAAGGCAAGAACTCTCCCTTGCAAACTCCAGTTTAGAATTGTCAGCTGAAATATGTAACAAGCTTTGATAAAACAGCTATATATTATAAAAAATATTTGACCTTAGACTCATAAGAACATAAGTACAAGAGAAGCATATAGTATAGAGTAAACAAGCACAGGTATGGATCCTGGTTTCTCTGCTTTCCCATTCTGATTCCAAATGACCCAAAAGCACCAAAGTTCTTGCTGCTGCTTCACTGGTCAATTTTGAGTCAGTTTGTGAGTTGCTGTTGGTTCTCAGTTATTGGGCATCCACGTTGTGATATCTTGTATTAATTAGTAGGCCACTTGAGAAAACCTTCCTCAACAGAGAGGACAGGTTCACTAATGAGCACCTTGGACATACTCCTCATATACTGTGTAAAGACTGAACTGCTTCATTACTGCTAGTGGGAGAAGGAGATAATTTCCAATTATTTTAAATTACGATTATTTTCTTTGTCTTTGATAATTTAATTCCTGTATTACCTGTTTTGATAAGCTTGACAGTTAAAAAGAATTTAAAAAAAAAGAAAAAAGAAAGAAAGAAAAAAGATATGTAAAGCACACTCAAGTTCAGTTATGCTATTCTGTTTTAAATAAAACCAAACAAATTTGGCTCATCAATCTCAAAATCCTTGAGGTGATAAACAACACATCCCAAAGATAAACACTTCATTTTGAAAAACAAAAAGATGTTTGTTTAAGAATAGCAAGTAGCTGCATGGCTGCCACCTTTCCAGAAAATAAAAAGTTTTCCATCACAATTTTAGTGGAGAGTTCAACGCAGATTTGTATCAGCTCCATTTCTGCTTTGGAATCAGCATAAAACAGCTTCAACTCTCTTTCATTATGAAGCATTTGAACTTAATTTTAAAATAAGTCTTAAGTTTGAAAAAGATCTGACATTCAAAAACATTTCAAAACATTTAACATATTCAGGATTTGAACTACTGCACTAAAATCCCATGAAAGTATTACTACTTATTATAATAAAAAAATTTAACCTTGAAGTTATTTAGGAACTATTGCTACAGAGGAAAGCATTTTATATACTCTCCAATTCAGTATATGATATTGTCACCTTAAATAATCATATTGCTAGTATGACAGAACATTATAAAAATAATTTACTGTACAATCCATTTTTCTGAGGTGAGCCACTGATTTTTTTTCATATGACTCAATTATTGCCATCCTCCACATACTAATATTCAGGGTTAGTCTTTATTTAAATGACATATTTTTAAAGCATCCTGCCATCTGCAAAAATGTCAAGTTCTGTTGTTTTTAAAGAACAGTGACTAAATTAGCAGCACTTTGCAGTACCATCACTTTGACAACAGCAAATAACTAAAAAGTATAGAATGTCAGAAGCAACAGTAATGCATACTTGAGTGATGAAGATAATTTTGTGGAGCTGAACAAGAATCTGCTGATCAGGGTCACTGATCTGACGCACCTTCCTCTGTGATACAGCAATTCCTGCCGATGCTGTAGAAGACAAGAATAAAATCAGGAGGGCAGCTCATTTTGTTGCCTTAACCTGTAGATATAAACACTAAGTTTAAACGCATCACTTGTTTTTCCAATAATGTTGCAAACAGAAAAAGGATAATGTAAAATCTTAAAAATTTAGACAATGCAATTGAATATATGTGTCAAAAGAAAATCCCTTTCTCTGAATCATTAAATTACGCTAAGAGAAAAACAGTATTAATGTACCTTACCAATCTAAATGTTTTCTCACATTTATTCAAAAGGAAATTTAAATATATGATACATGGAATTTTCTTAAATGATTTTTTTTACATTGACTAACACACACTTACTTTTTGTATATTTTGATGTTATTAAATTTATTTTCAATCTATCCAAAGAATTACAATAACATATCTCACATGGACCATACTTATCAATTGTTGTTTAGTATTTTTAATCTTCTGTATTTAAATCATACACATTGTCAAACTCAGAGATGAAATAAAAGCTTATCAGCAGACTGCCACTATAAAACACTTAATGTATCACTAAAGAATATTCACGAAATTATCTTTCCAAGTTGAGTATTAGACCTGGAAGCTAAGCAAGGACCTTTGGCCCAAGTATTGAACTTCAGCCAGCAGTCCTGTATCTCTCTTAAATACAGTTCTCTAAACTACACTTCAGAGGTTAATTTAGATCCATGTTCTAATATTTCTTTACACAGCAACACCCTGAGGATTATAAAGTCTTATGTAAAAATTTACATTCACAGAAACTTTTTTTTTTTTTTTTTTTTTTTTGCATAGTGATCCTGGACCAAGAATAAAAATTCTACTGAGCAGGAGATGAAATTCAAATATCAATATTAACTCATTCACAACAGTACAATTACATTTTTTTTTTTTTCTGTTGAATTTCTGTGCTGGTTACTTTAACAGGAAGTAGAAGGCAAATATTCACAAACTGAAGTGTCCAGGGACCATCCGGTTCTGAGCTGTGCTATCACAGAAACAGAGGAATACAGAAAATGTCCTTCTCTGGAGGGACACGTTTCTAGTAGTATCAGGAAGATGATGACATCATTGCTGTTATTGGGGTTTTTGTGGCCTTTTGGCACGTGTTGATAGAGTCACGTGAAATTCAGTTTGACACTTTTTCCCTAAGTCTTCCCTTAATGATGAGTAAGAGAAAAAGAAGTCTTGCATTTCCCCTGAGTTACTTGGAGAAAAATTTAGATTGTTTTTTCTGGTCAAGGTGACAGTGGAAGCCATGCTGTAATAATCTAAAATACATACCACCAGAAGAGCAATTTGGATTTAGCTGTTTCTGCCTTATTTTCACCTCTCTACCAACTGTTTCAACAGTGCTGCATTCAATCCCCTTGCATATCCCCTCAAGTCTTGCTGTTACTACCTATGAATCTTCAGCTTTTGTTAGGACACTCAGAGAACCTTTAATTCCTTGAAAAGTTATCTTTTTCACTATTCCCTGTTCTGTGGTATTTGTCTTCTCTTTTCCTATTAATGGCTTGTAAAACAAACCAAAAGAAAATAAATCAGTGCCCTTTCTTTTGTGTGTCTTCAAGCTTTTTTTCTGAATAAAAATATGTTTAGAATGATAGCAGCAAACAAAAATGACTGAGTAGGATATAACATGGATTTCCCTTTTTTCCAGTATGACAGCAATAATATGACCTAAAAATCTAGGAGGACCATATGTAATGTCTACTTGTAGTGTACAGGTGCTTCAAAGACAGCTGGAGACCCAGTGTTAAGCTAGGAACTTCAGGAGTACCCTCCAAGTCCCCCAGACTGCTCCAAGTTTCTTATTTGGTTGTTTTTTAAATACAGAATTATAGCATTATTTGGAGGATAAGGGCACACCTATGTGAATAGGCTGCTGAAGACTTGGTCAAAGCTTTCAAGAATTTTATCCAAAAGGAAAACATTACTGAAAAAAAAGATACTGGATTTACTCAAATTACCCACAGAACTGAAAATATCAACAAAGGCTAAAGTATTTGTTTGTAGATCATGATAGCTCTGATACATTATGGCTGGATAGTGGGTTTTAACTGCATTGTTATTATAATGGTACTCTTTAGTAAACAGTAACACTGAAACTGCAGAAGGTTGACATCAAATTTTGATTTGTACTCGATAATGAAAAATTTTAATAGAATTTGTATATTTAAAGCTGTAAAATAGGACTTAGTATAGACAAAAAGCACTGTTTTATGATCAATATCTCAACTGCTCAAAATAATTTTCTTTCAAGTATTATTTAATTCAGACAATATGCATTCCAAAATCACAGCTTAGTATCTTATAGTATGTGAAACTTCTCAGTAAGAAAGAAAAGTACCTCAAATAGAAAACTTGTTTCATCAATCACGATGTATAAATACACGATAATTTACAAGGGCTTTATGAAAATTCATTTCTCAGGAGAAATTCTCATTGCATTTGGCAGAAGTTTAGCCAGGATAATGACCATTAAAATGAGATCTTACTGACTCACCACTGGAATTCATATTTTTAAGAAGTACCTTCATGGTATTTCAGACAACATACTTGTATGTGAAATGTAATTGTCTCATTTTCTAATATTTTAAAATACAATTATTAGATAAAACCATAACATTTCACATTGCAAAGAGCTACAACTGGTAAAGTTTGAGGAAACACTCTATATGCAACAGGAGAACAATGTAATAATTTGAACACTTGGAGATCATTAGGTTTAATTTAAGCTAATTTCTTGCAAGCACAAAATTACCTGGTCGCAATCTTGATCCAGGACCATCATAAATAAAATAACAGTATTCTCTGACTACATGTCATGTTTCCTCTAAAGGAAATCTGTCCAAGTTCCCTAGTTTTTAACTGTGCATTTTGAAGTCACATAAACGCTGGCTCACTCTGCGTGTCCAAAATAGTGTAACTTCTATTATATAAAAGTTTCTTTCCCTGCTCAGTTTTCAGCCTGGAGCACACAAAGTCTGTAGAGAGGATTTTAATACTGAAAACTCAGTAATCCAACAGATGATGCATTCCTACATTTTTAAGGACCTTTTGGATAACCCTTCTTACGGATGGGAAACATCAAGAATATTTATTGTTTAGAGAAGAAAAACATGAGTAATAATGCGTACAGTACTGGTAAAATGGTCGAAAAGAATAATATTACATCACCAGGATAGCAATATCTCAATGTCAGAACGTGTTTCAGTGTTAGATCCTGCTCTGTACTCTACACAAACTCTTTCCGAGCCTGCAGATTTCACTAGTTGAAATAAGCAATAAAAAACTGATACAAACAGAGAGGAGACTGAATAAACCAATATGATGTCTCATGGGTGGCAGCCGCGATAGCCCTAGCCTGGCAAGAATTTGTATATATTTTTTGGGCAGTAGGGAAAACTACAGTTTCAAGGAGCAGTTATGAAAATAGATAAGGAGATAGCTTTTCTAATGATTATGTGAGGGGCAGAGATTTGTGTACTAATGAATTTGTACAGAGAGAAAAAAATGCACTTGCTTCAACACAAGCATGAGGAGGCTGCCACTACTGACTGCAACAGGACCAAAGCTGCAAAGTGATAAGTGACAGACTGGATGGTGACATGCTAAGAACCACTCCAAAAGCAAAAATAAAATATTGTCTTTAGTTAAAACGGTGTCTGTGGAGAAACACAAGAGAAGAATCGATGCCATCATTATAAACACTCACATAGCTAAGTTAAAAAGAAAAAATTATTCACGAGGCAGATGCAGCCAAGAGTGATTTTGAGGGTTTTTTTCAGATTTGAAAGAAAAACAGAAATAAAGAAACAAAGAACAGAGTCTGTGAGTAAAAGTGGTGCCAAAGGGATCAGAAAAAATAATGGTTGGTCAAGAATGTGTCTGATGCAGTACTGAGTAAACAACAGAAGAAAAAGGAAGACCTTTAGAAGAGGAAGAGGGATGACATGACATATTCTGCTTCTGTTTGTTTCCTTTTTTGAAATAAATGAGGCCTCCACAATACAAAAAATGGGCGCCTATGTTTGTGTAGAAGGTCTAGAGAAGGTCAAAGGGACAAGATACTACTCTACTACAATATACTCCACACTATCCAATACACAAGCATGTTTTTGTATGGAAAAGCATCTGCTTAAATACACAACACCAGAATTTGGCTAACCAAATAACATTGGTTTAGCTGATGTAGCAAAGTCCATTTTTAAAACTATTTATCATGTACAGCTTTTGAGTGCAACCACCCTCTTACAACATCTTGAAGCAGACTGAGTGTTGTAGGCCAATATAATATGAAGTTGTAATGGTAAGTAAGGAAATGTTTCATGAAGGGAATTGCAGAATTGTTTCACTGTGAACCAAACAACTGGAATTGATCATAACAGTGACCAATTATATAATTTATATTAAAAAAATAAATCACACCTACCTTATCTGGGATTGTCTTTCAGAAGTACTAAAACTTCATTTAGTTATTCCTGAAACAAATGCAAAAATGTTATCTTCTGCTAAAAAAAAACAAACAAAAAAACCAAAATGTGCATGTTAATATGTTCTATTTCCCAGACATGGTGTCTAAATAACTTTTAAAAAACAGCATTAAACGAACTCCAAACACCATTTCACTACTGAGTTACTGTTTGATGTATCGAAGATTTTCCTACATCATAAACTAAAATCTCAGCCCCACATAGTATTTTAACAAATACTTCCAGAATTTCACAGAAACTAACAATATGTGTTGACTAGATGTCCACTGAAGATTTGCATTCAATTAACAACAGTTACTGCTACTGCTACAGCCACAACATTGTTGCTAGTCTGGATAAAGAGCCCACTTTTTCAGGGGACCTTACTTCTTATATAATCCTACTGAATTTAGGACCTTGAAGACCGGGATACAAGCAGTTATTGGTCCAACATCTAATAAGCAATAAAACTGAACATAAAAGTTGACATAATTTATTGCATAGTGCCAAAAAATGTCTA